TCATCACCAAAAATAAAGAGAAAGCAGCGCTGACAAAAAGCCATTCACAAATAGGGCTCGATCCAAAATCTAATGGCGTGGATCCGGCCCCCGGCAGAACATTGTATTGTACCACCAGGATTTCTGAATATCTCCTATTGTTCGACAAGCCCGATTTCACACTAAACCCAGAGTTCGTTTCAGAACAGAAGCTTTTTGTGTAGAAACTTTCAGCGACATCCCTTCGTGAACACACACATACCACAGAGGCTATTGTCTTATTAAAGAGTTTAAGCCTTAAGGTGTATGCCTCTTTTTAAAAGAAATTTTCTGATTGTAGATAACTGCTCAATTTGATTTAGTGTCCAATGATAGTGATGGGGTTGATAACTGAGCATTCATCGGTAATTCATCTTGTGCTAGTAGAAATTTACAGCAAAGCAGTGCTTTCCCAACACTGACAAGTCCTATTAATCTTCTTCAGACACATTTCAATAGGTGTCTCCATCTGTGCCCAACATCTAAACACTCTGGCATCACTAGGGACTCGGAGACACCTTCATTTCAGGTTACACTAGTGAAAATGTGATACTAGATTGTACTCTATTTTTAACCTAATTCTCCCTTTTCATTCAATTAGCCTTTCTTGCCTGCATTTTTCTACTCATGTGTAACATCCTTTTCCCAGGAAGAGTTTAAAAATGAGATTTAGTTACTTAAAGAGACAGAATCTGCCAGGGCAAGAGCAATCAAGAACTTAACGTCAAGCAGCAGCACAGCAAGGCTCACACATGCAGTGCAGGGAAGGCATCGCCGGCCTCAAACCACATCCTATACAGCATGCCCACTGGGTTCCCGTCCCCATGGGACTGTTGCAGACGTGGTTCAGTGAGGACAGGTCTGAAACTGAACCCTTTCCCCAGCTTTCCAAATTTTAAAGCAACCACAAAGTATTGGGGGTCTGAAACCCAATCTATACCCAAAGACCTCTGTTTGTTCAGGCTGCAGGAGGACCGCCAACACACGTCCCCACCTCTCTTTCCGTAGACGGCTGATGCGCGAACAAACACGGCGCAGTCAAGTTACAGCAATAACATTTATGGGTGGATTATGTTCCAACTTCCTCACTTATTATTAAAAGCCAGAAAATCGCAGAGCACGTGGACAAGGCAGAGCACAAACGCAGGCGAATTTTGCCTCAGAACCAAATGTTGTTTCTTTCGCTCAGCACTGCAGTGAGTTTGCCTGCAGATGCAACGCGGCTTTCAACATTATTCATTCAGAAAAGGTGTGTTTGGGTTTTTTCCTCCTCCCTCCCTATTTCTGCTCACCTGTCAGGGAGGAGCAGGTGTGAACTGTTGGGGTTTGGGAGGGCTCTCCCTCTCAGAACTTTCTTTGGAAAGAGCAAAGCCTGAGCCACGCGCTGACTCGGGAGCTGCCCCGTGCGAGGGCGGTCCCTAACTTTGTTTCTGGCTTTATGGAGTTCCCTCATGAGCCATATTATAGATCTAAATGACCTTATTGTAGGTGGCAAGTTTAAATGTGCCATATTAATAACTTGTTATCCAAGACAAATTAAGTCCTTATGTGTCAAAAGCACTCTGCTCTGGATTACCTACAAGACAAGTATTTATTGAATAAACGTTGGATCCAATTTCATTTTAATGTGACTGACTGTATGCTTCAGCCCCTTAAAATGAGATAAAAACACTCAAACCTATAACTGTGTTGCAACATTACACCTAACTTGTCTATTTCTATTATTGTCTTTTTAACGTGGGATATCAAAAGCGTTTGGGGTTTTTAAGGATTTATTATTATTATTATTATTATTATTATTATTATTATTATTCTGAAGAGCAAGGAGAGAGATAGAAAAAAAAAAGACTGGCATTCAGCCTAAAGAGAAATCATTGAAACAAATTAATCCTATGCCGTTTAAATTGACATGGTAATCCATCATCAGCAAAGGGAAACTCTGAAAGCAATCTAGAATCTGCAGTGTTCTTTCACTGGCCCTCAGGCACAAAGACAGATAGTAAAAGAGAAAGAGGAAAAAAAAAATCATAAAAGTTAGCAGTGCCTTAGAAAAGGAAAGGGAGAGAGAGAGCAGCTTTCACTTTTTCCTGCTTTCAAATGCCCAGTTCAGAAAGCGGGCTGATTAACCTCCAGCCGTCGCCTACTATCATTTACTCCTGTATGTCAAATCATCTTCAGCTGCTGAGATATGAGTAATTCTAAATAGCACAGAGCCCCATCCTATATAAACTCCACCATTGAGAACTACGCCAAACATCAACTTTGGCATTTCTGCTTACAGAGAGCCTTTTATTAGCCTAAACTTGAGCGCTCCAAATGGACAATAAATTCTATCTTTGCAACCCTGGAGAAAAGAGCTGTACTATCCTAGGAGCTTAATAGCCAGGATTTTCATATAGCTAGCAGGGAAAAGCTGGCAAAGCTAGGGATTTTTTAGTATTGATTTTTATTTGGGTTTTCAGGGGGGTGGTTGTTTTTTTAGTTTGTCTGTGCCCTTGTTTCTCAGCAGGACCGCCCACCATCGTCTATGTTTCCCAAGGGGTTTTTTTTTTTTTTCCGATCTTGTTTTAAATATCTGAAAAGTGATGAGACTTCCTGCACCCTTAAAATGTTATTATACTTCTGGTCAGAAGCAAACGTAAACCTCTTGGGCCTTGAAAGCCTGTCGCAATACAGCCATTATCCCTGTAACGTCAACAGAGCTACAAAACTCTCTAGAAATAAACCTTTTAGGAGCAGCTTTCCCTGCCTTATGTTTTGTTTTAAGGTCAGCGGTGCATCACTTTTTGGAAAACGTTTCCCCTCTCTGGGCAGGTTTAGCAATCCGAAGTGGAACGTATGTTGCTAAATGAATAGGTTTAATTTTAGACGCTGAAAAAATAAATACGAGAAGAGAGCGAGGGCAGGAATAATACCTTCCAGTTAGAAACAGACATGGAATAAAGCGAGAGTCAGGACTTTAGTGCCAGGGGCAAAGGGGTGAAGGGCTGGCTAATATGAACCATATCCAACATCTGCCCTATTTTAATTTAGCGGGGATAAAGTTTCTTCTTTTTTATTATTAAGAAAACTTTATGTGGCAGAGAAATCCATGAGCTGCCTTATCAAAACTGGTTTATTGTCACACTGAAACTTAGAACTAGAGAGAGTTGGTGGGGCAAAGAGATAAAACCTCCCCTTGGCTCTCCCTTTATGCTCCGTGACCAGCCTGGGCTCGGGTCCTGGTGTCTGGGATGTCCTTTTCATGGCTTTATGAAGCACTGCGCTTGGGTCCGTCATATAAAGGGGAGGTTAATTGTTTGGGACGGGTCCCAGTGATTGATTCTGCAGGTAAAAAATAACAAAAACGATAAAAATGGGGGATTTCAAGCTAAATACACACACGCAGTAGTGGCGCGATGGAGGTGTGCAAGTGTAAGGGGCAGCCACAGCGGGGGCTGCGTGGGACACGGCACAGATTGCCGGGCTGGAACGTGATCTCACTCCTTGTACAAGTTTTCCACTTCGACAGTGCAAATTCTGCTATGAAATGCCAAAATGTACAGAAACACGTGTGAGGGGCTGCGGGAGTAAAAGAACAAATTGGTTTCTGACAAAAGGAGGATGAATACCTTTGGATAATCTGACATTAGAGTTTGATTGAAAGCATAACATTCCTTTAAGCATCAATATGCTTAGGATCCAAAATATGGTTATTTTATTACCAGTTAATGCTCAGATCAAAGCAAAACACTGTAGCTGGAAGGGACGTTCTCTCTGGAAATAAAGTTCCATGTAATTATTTCCTATTAAAAACTAAAACTGGTCTTAGATTCAAAAAACTGTGCTTCTTAACATGTGATGTAGTGCAAGCTTGTCAGAGGGAGCAGACGTGCCATTTTTCACTGTTTGCTGCTATCCCTTTGCTTTAAAGTTTTCGGTTCAGCTTTAACTCTTTGCATGTGAAAAATTCTCATCCCATTTACCTCAGTCAAACACAGGGGGTTGTTTTGAATAACATTCACTATTTTCTTGCATGCAGAGATTAGATTTTGATACAAATAAACACCATTTTACAGAAGGTCTGCAAACACAAGGAGGAGGAAAAGACAAAGCAAATGATGCAGAGATGTATAGGTGACTGAAACTTAAACCTTAAATAGCAAACAAGTATTTTACTCCTTGGTGAAACACCTCATCTAATTCAATTCCGGAGAATGAAGCTTAAAATATGCACTCAAAATATTTCCAAGAAAGCTGCAACGTTTCAAAAGAGAGAGATAAGGATGTATTCCAATTACGAGGTTATAAGTATGCGATCTATTTTTTCTGCACATCCCCTGTTGCAGTACATATGATTCGGTTCAGATGCAGTTCTATAGCTGTCTGTCTATATTCCTGTCCAGGGTTTGGGTTTTATTTATTTGGCTGTTTATTTTTTCTTAGGGGGAGTTGTTGGGGTTATTTTTTGTTTTGTTTTTTTTTTCCTCGTAGTTCGGTCTCTATTTCTGTCACCTCAAAGGCAGGCCCTGGAAAAATAGGAGCTGCCAGCCTCAATAATCCATCCTTCTGTATTTTAAAACATCTAAAGAACAAACAGGGGATGGTTCCTTTTTACAAGTGACGGGCTAGAATTGTAAGTGGGAATATGAAATATTTAGACCCGTTGTTTGGAACTTTCTGTCCGCTCCTGATTCTGCTGATTATTTTTTATGATGCTCAGAAATCAAAAAATCTCTTTAAAGAGTTCATTTTTAGAAGCGTGAAAAGGAAGAGGAGTCTGAATAAGGCAGCAAGTATGATCTGGGTTTAACGTTGCTGTTGACTCCTCAGCTATATTGTTCCCTAGATGGATGGCTACAGTATAATTCTGTATTAAGCGCCTGTTAAGCAGAGAAGGAACCGAAACGCTGAGCTGGGTTGTTGTTTGCTAGCTCAATTAGCATCCCAAGAATTTGAAAGTATGGTACATGTATCTGGAGATCATATCTAAACATACTTACCAAAAAGTACCCACCTCGCTCAGCAGGTCACATATTTCTGCCTTCTGACTGGGAGAAAGGAAAAAAAATCACAGAGGCGTTTCGGATGTGCAGGTTAAGATTGGCGTATGGCAAGGTTTGTGTGAGATACAAAGAAACCTGTATTTCACTCAACAATTTCATTGCTTAAACATATAGTTTAGAAGCATCTTTTCCTTAAACATGTGGTTCAATAGCGTTTTCTTCAAAGGAACAATTCAGTGTGTTAAAAGATTTATGAACAAAGAATGTGCAGCAAAATGCAAATTCTTACAGTGTTATACTGTGTATGCAATTATGTACGTAGGCAGATAGATATAATTTGAGCGTTATTAACTTTCAACATCAATGATGTACCCTGAATCAATACAATGCAACTACCTATTAAAACATAAACCAGGTGTGTTAGCAGCCAAATACAGCCTGAGAAGCTTGCCTAGATTTCTCTTTTTTTTTTTTTTTTTTCCCCTTAAAGATTACAGCTCGCTTATGGACAAGCTTAACAGACGGCTGCTGCTCCCAGAGATGGAGATTGCTTTGCCTTTTGCAATATCTGACGTATCCAGCATGTTTCATTCCCTTCACATTTGGGGAAAAAAAATATAAAAAAATAAAATAAAATAAAATAAAAAATCTTAAATTAGAAAAGAAGAAAAACAAAAGCAAAGCTCTGAAGTGATGTAAAGGGAAAGAATCATTTCCCGAATGTCCGTACGTGTGAGCTCCTCCCGGCACACGGGACACAGAGAAGTTCCCTTTCCATTTCCCTTTCCCTTTAGATTGGGGGGAGAGCAGAGACCATCTGAAGCCCTGGCACCCGTTTGGGCCGAGCCCCATCCCAATCCCTTCCCTCTGCCTCCAGTCCTTCAGTCAGTGCAGTGAACCCTGGAGCGGGGCCGAGGAGGGAAGGGTTAATGAAACCCAGCTCCTTCCGACCTCCAGGGTCAGACTCTTCCTATCTGCAATCTAAGGAATTAGGTAAGGAGGTTATAAGATTATAGCGAAAGGAGTTATAGGCCCTCGTAGCCTTACACCTGAACATATTGGTCTAATCCACTGGGATTCTTAAAAATCGCTTCAGCTATGGAAAACTGTTAATTAGGCTGTGTCTGTCCCGAGGTTTCCTGTTGCACTGGTGATCCAGCAGAGCTGCCTGAGCTCCAATGGCTCATGTGAAATGCTCTTCGTGTGCCTCTATTTGTCCCCCTCTCCACAGCTAAAAGCAGCATCAGCCCCGGCTTTGGGGAAAGGCAGGGGCTGGGTGCCATGCATGGACAAAAAGGGGACAGGGGATACAAAAGCCATTTTCTCCTCTCTTCCCCCAACTCCCAGTGCCCGGCACTGTATATGCAGCTGTTTCTAACTTCAGTGTTTGTTTACAGTAGCAAAATTAGCACTTGGAGGACTAATGAAAAGCTGTTTCCACATCGCTTCTACTCCTCGTTCCTCGCTTCTGTGCCTTTCTTCCCTCCCAGCATTCAGTATCAGATAAACTGCGGCTCCAACTTTCTCCCGGTGCTTTGACTCAGTGCTCTGCAGTCGCATCCTATTGCTGCTACAGGAAAATACACCCAGGGAGGAGGCAGCGTTTGAAGATGGCCCGAACATCATTGATTTGAGGCAAAAATAAATAAATAAAAAAAAACAAAAAAGGGAGCAGAAGAAAAAAAAAAAAAAAAAAAAAAAAGAAAAAAAAGAAAAAGAAAATCCCAGCTTTCCTAAAGAACGTATTTTAACGGCGATGGGCAGAGCCCTGCCCTGCTCTGTGCCCTTTGGCACTTCTGCATTTGCTCGAAGTTGGCCTTAATGTTCCTTAATGTCCCGGCACCTGGAGCACGGCGGAGCCGCCTGCGCCCGGCAATCCGCTCCCAGTCCGATGGCACGGCTGCGTTCTGCCTTTTTGTCCTTTTCAGAAATACTGATTATTTATGTTACGTGTATTTTTTTATTACTATTTTTATATTTTTTTTTACGCCACTTGTGGTCGCCCTCGAATGGCAGTAATCTGTAGATTACATACTGCGAGCCTTGTCATTACGGGGATGGATAAAATGAGGTGGTTAAACCCTAAAATCCATTTTACTCACCACATTTTGCTTGAGGAGGGAGAGAAAGAGGGGAGAACAAACTTGGAGGGGAGAGTTTGAGCCCCTCGCACCGGAGCTGGGCTGTCCCCGCCTGGGGACACGGCTGGGACCCCGCACCTTCACCCAGCGCCCGCTGCAGCCCCTCCGTCCCCTCGCTCCTGTCCCTTTTGTCCCCACGCTCGCAGTGTCTCTGCATTGCTCTACAGAGGCGACTTTTCTCTGCCTCTGTTTGCTCCGTAGCATTTCTAGGCTCTGCTCGCCCCCCATTTGCCTCTTTCATGTGCGTCCCCGGTTCCCCTCCAGCTGATGCGATTCTTTGGAAATGTGGGGCTTATCCCGTCCGTACCTTTGCCTGCTCTGATTAGATATTATTTTTTCATTGGCTCCGCTACAGCGGGTTCCTCCCTTTAATCTCTCGATATATTTTCCCCCCTCCCGGTATAACCAAATCCATGAAATTCACAGCCTCTCTCTTTGACACGACTGGCTCATCTAATCACTCCATATCGATTTCCCTAACTCTTTTCATCCAGCTGAAGACACATCTTAAAACACTCCAAGCCAGAGTGTGCTCTTTGCTTTATACACACTAATAAAATGATTTACCCTTCTCTCTCTGCTCTCCTCACAGGAGAAAATCGTTCAAGTCCCGGCTATTTGTGTGTGATCAGTAAATATTTAGTGTGGCGACATCTTCAGCTCCTCTCCTGATCAATACGCAACCCAACAGGAGGTGGACTATTGTCCGGGCAGTGACTGACTGAGATCTCCTTCAGATGCATTCCTTGCCCCCATACCGTCTGTTATGATTTATCCTCGAAGGTAACGAGCAAAGAGAGAAAGTGAGGCTGTAAAAGCTTCTGTCTCTAACCTGTTTACCGTGGCGTTAAGCCACCTAAGCGAAGAATGCCTTATTCATCCCCATCTCCCATCTCTACATGATGGTCTGGCACTTCCAAAACGCTGCTAGAAAATGAATGGGAAGGCAAGCAGCCGTCGCACGGGCGCTTCTCATCCCTGCATCCCTCTGTCCTCTCTTCCCCGGCCCCTGGAGTGACAGCGGTGTCACATCAGGGCGAGACCCGCTCCCACCCCTCAGCATCCCGCGGGGGTCCCGCAGGGTGAGGGATGCGAGGTGACCCCCCCCGCCCCTCCCCGCTCTCCCTCCCGCAACTCTGCAGCCCCGGGTTCAGCCGAGGCAGGGCTGGGGGCTGAGGGCTTTTTGTTTGTTTGTTTCTCCGGTTGGTTGGTTTGGTTGGGTGGGTGGGGGGGGGGGGGGCGGTTTGTAACGACTTGGAAAATCTGCAGCGAAGGAAAAAAAAAAATGGAAATGGAGAGGAGCTTAAAGCTCAGTTCCTGCGGTTAGCCATACGCGAGAGCTTTCCCAGGGTGATAAAATGGACAGAACGAGAAGTTCGCGCGATCGCGCGCGTGTGTGTGCTTTGCCCTCATCTGTTATTTCACTCCTGGGAAAGCCCGTGCCTCGGATAGGAAATCTTTCCCCTCGCAGTCACCCCGCTCCTCCGCGCAGTGCCCGCGGATGCCCGCGCAGCGCAGCGCAGCGCAGCCCCGGCAGCGCGATGCCCGCCTTTGGCGCATCCCGATCCCGCACCCTGCACCGCAGCCCCCGCCAGCGCCCAGCTGTTTGCTTTATTTCATGTGCATTTACACAGCAACCCCGGGTCGGAGGCATTTCTCTGTGTAAACGCACGCTGCGTGCATGCACGCTCCATAAATACATGGCTGTGTGTTGGAGATGTGCGACTGTTATTCAAATCTAAAACCGGCTACGTCCACCTGTTAACTTTGTTTAGAAACCACTTTCACTAATGGCTTTTCGCTAACTTATTCAGTCCGTTACTCGAGTATAGGAGTCAATGGAGGGGAAAAATCCATATGAAAACCTGCTTACAGGCTCTCTTCGCGAGGACACTTTACACACCTTGCCCAGACAGGGCTCCTATAGAGCGCTTATCTCTCGAATATATCTTTATACTAATGCATACTTAATTGGTCTGTCTCGACTGTCCATATAAAACAATTTAATTAGGGTGCTTTCTGCTTTGGAAAGAAAGAAAAAAAAAATCTGCCCAGCATTTATTGTATTTAGCACCAATACAGGCAGAAAATGTTGCACAAGTTTTTGGTTGAAAGAGCACCTATGTGTCCATTGAAGGGCGTTGATCCGAAAAGACAGAGAGGACAAGTAAAATCGATTTGAAGCGACCCTCTCTGTCCCTTTCACACCATTCAGACACTCCATTCCTTCTAAGACAAAGACCCAGCGCCTTGGGAATGCTGGCAAAGGGGGAAAAAAAGAGGAGGGGAAAAAAAAAAAAAAAAAAAAAAAAAAAGGCTTCAATCCCCCCAAGCGAAAGGGAGAGCTCTGAAATTCCTTCATATCGCTGTTATTTCCCCACCACCACCCCCCTAAGATATGTTCAGCTCCAGGATTTTCTTCAATTCGGCGTCTAACGTTTCTGCTGTGAGGAATGTCCCTGGGAGGGAGGAGGTAATTATGGCTATTAGTGCTGCGAGCCCGGCCGCAGCCTTGGTCACTCGCAGGCTTTTGGGGTTAAAATAGCTCTCACCTCTGACCCCGCGGAGCAGAGTTGGAGCTATCGCCACAAGTTGGGCCAAAGTTTCCAAATGTGAGGCTGTGCGGCATTGGGGAGAGACTCCTCACTAGAATTATTTTTGGTTGGGATTTAAGTCATCTTTAGGCTATTTAATTGCATTCCCCTCCTCCGTTTTGTTTTTTTTTTTCTTTCTTTTTTTTTTTTTTTTTCCCTGTTTGTTTGTTTTTTCCAGCAATCTCTTTTGGAGAGGTGTAGGGGAAGAGAGCTCGAAATGCCCTTCTTCCACCACCTTTCCCTCTGCTCTTGCCATTTGGGTTTCATTTTCGGCATGAAAATGGTCACCCCCAAACTGAGTTCCCAGGTCATCCTCCTCTTCTCCACGGAGCTCAGGAATAAAGAGGGGGGGGGGGGGGGGGGCCCGGGGGGGGGTGACCCCCTCCCTTTCGTCCGTCCCCATTGCCACCACGACCCGTTGAGCTCTGCAGAAAAGGAGCATTTGCAAAAGGGGAGAAAAAGGACGGGCAGGGTGGGTTCACCTCCTCGCACCTTTCGAGATCATCCACTGTGAGGAGGCATCTGGGGGCCGGGGTGAACCGGGGGAGGGCATCCACAGCTGCGAGCATCCCTCTGGCAATAAGAAAAATGCATCCGAGTGGGATACGTCTCCATCTTCCATGTACTGATTAGGCTTAACAAGAGTGGAAACTTGTGTAGCCCATATTTATGGTATTAACGAGCAGTTAAAAGATTTATCCTTCTTCTGATCAATATTGTTCGTGCCCGGCCCCCCCTTCCCCCCCCCCCATGGCCCGGCCCCGGCCCTCCCCGAGGGCTGCAATGACAATTGCCTTCATACTTTTTCATCACTGTTCGAGGTGGCAAAACCCCATTGTAATTTTCATTAGCCCAGTAAACATGCAATTAACATGCAGCACTGTGGTTAACTTAATTCCCGTTTTAAGGCAAGGACAAGCAAGAAATGGAAGAGCGTTTGTTCCATTTGTCAAGTATGACACACTTCTTACCATAACAGTTTCTTAAAATAAAAGCTCGGCTCCCCACGACCACCACCCCTCTTTCCAGAAACCCCCCACACCGACACACACACACACACACACAAAAAGGAGCAGGAATCCATTAGTTGGAGAGTATTCTCCTGCCAAAGGCGGTGTAATGTATTCCAAATTTTCCCAAGCTCTCACTGTACTGGGCTCCCATTTCCCCCCTTGGGAAGGGGCTGTGAGCTGATATTTCTCGTGGGTGAAGGATTCAGCCTTCCCCGAACCGTATTTTTTAATAAAATAAAACAAACGTGCTTGCCATGTCTAAAAGTTGCCATGTTTGTGAAGAGGGGGGGGTGGGGAAAATGTCTCCAAGGGTTTCAATTAGCAACAAATGATTATTGCAACGGATTTTTGGTAATGAAAAAATGTGGAGTACCTCTTTCTAGCTGGGATCTCAGGGGCAGTGAAAGAGAGCGGGGGGGAGAGGAAGAGAAAGAGAGAGAGAGAGAGAGAGAGAGAGAGAAAGAGATTGCTGATTAGCTCGGATTCTTTCCCAACTTGCTGTAGCGTGTGCTTGCGTTCCCTGCCGACCCTACACAGGACACTATATATTTTTTCCCCTTCGGTGCATGTGTTGATAGTTCAGCCTGTAGTTGTTTGCGGTTGGCTTTTTTTTTTTTTTTTTTTTTTTTTTTTTCCCCTGCCTGCCGGGGGGGGGGAAAGTGGGAAGGGGGGGCTGAAATCGGCCGCATCCATCCTCCCCCCACACTCATTAAGTTAGGAGATTTCTCTCTTATTCTTTTTTTTTTTTCCTCCCCAATTGGAAGGGTGGGTTGTGATTTTTTTTTTTTTTTTTTTTCCCTAAGTCTCGCCTTTCCAGCTCCAAACAAGGTGTAGCGAGACGCTCTTCCTTCTAAGGAATGAAATGAGAGACAAGGATCACTCAAAGCCATCTCCTACCTTGGGCTTGGGGATTTTTTCTTAAAGGCGAGGCGCACATTCCTCAGCAGCTATGTACAAAGCCCCCCCTGAAACCCTGTCTGTGTAAAGTTAGAGTGTGTCCAGGATTTTTTTTTCCTCTCTCCCAAGGCTGATCGCTAATAATACATCGAAAGCACTTCCCTTTAGGTTGTGGGAAATCTATTCCCTTCACCTTGCCTCCTTTTTTTTCTCCCCCTGAAGGCTGTAACTTTACTTTTTTTTTCTTCTTCTTCTTTTTTTTTTTTTTTTTTAATCAGTTTGCACAATCGCTTTAGATAAACACCACGAAGGAGACTTCTCTTTAATTACCCAACGCACATCTTTCTGGGGGGCAGACAGCGGTCTGATCATTTTTTTGTTGTTTGTTTGTTTCACCTGCCAAACTAAAGGAGAGGTAGAAAAAGGAAGATGCAAGCGATTTGGGACCTTGAACAAGGCAAATATGGTTTTGGTATGTTTACTTCTAGTTTTTTTTCTTCTTCTTTGACACTTTTTTTTTGCGGGCAATGTGTTGTTATTCTTGTGTTTCTCTTTTAAGGAAAACAAAAAATCCAAAAAAGCAAATGTTAGCTAACGTGCGTCTTAAACGATCGTTTCTAAGGTTACGTGGGTTGCTCTAAGGAGGGGAAGAGGGGAGGGGGGGAGACCCGAGGCTGTGTAATCGCAGCACCGCCAGTTAGCACGTCCTTTAGCTAAATAAAGAAATCAGCAAACAAACAAACAAGCCAGCAAACCCAACGACCGGGATCGGCTCCCAGGTCCGAGGCTGCGAAGTGCCTCAAAGTCATTCCCAAAGCGGCGGCCGGGGCTGCGGATGGGGCCGGGGTTGGGGCTGCGGGCGGGGACGGGGCTCCGCGATCGGACCGCGCCGGGGCTGCGGCTGGCAACGCTTATAGATACGGATAGAGATATTTTTAAGGGGAAAAATATAAATAAATAGGTCGGTGGGGAAGGTATAGCGTTAAGATCCCGTCTCTCTCCCCCCTCCGGTCGCTTCCCTGGTTAAGTACAATGGAAAGAAGCTGGAATATACTCACCCTCCGAAGGTGTGGTTGGCGGCGCGGCGGAGGCTTTATGGCAATTATTTATCCTTGCTTTATTACGGCAAAAGGCGCAGATCTGAGTTTAAGCAGCAAAAGTGTTTTGCTCTGACAGCCGCATGCGAGGCACGGTTCCTCGTTTAAAAAAAAAAAAAAAAAAATCACAAAACAGGATTCCCCCCCCACCCCCCCCATCCCTGACCAATATCCCTTAAAAATACCTATTCGGCACAGGGCTGGTAGGAACCCTGATGCAGAAATCTTATAGTCCGGTCTAGGAGTGCCCAAGCCAATTAATTTTAAATCCTTAGGAATTAATCAGATTAAAATGTACAGAAGTTTCATTCTCGTATGCATACGTGAGCCAAAAGTCGTTTCCCTTTAAGAGATCCTTTTCTTTTAAAGTTGAATTTTAGGCAGATAAGAGACTTACACTAGGGGGCAGCCAGATACTGTACTTGCTCCAATCTTAAGCAATTTTTTTTCCTCTCTCACAGCATATGCTCTGATTTAGCACTGTAAATTTTTCAGAGGACCCAACTCTGACAGCCCCTGGTGATTTTCAAAGTACCACAAGCCAGTGGTTAAAAATTGCATTGACTTGGAAGTTCAGAGGCACACAATAGGAGCCACTTTCCCTATTCATGGAACTTCAGTGTGGTGGAAGAGAAAAACACACACATACTACATTGAGGGAGAAGAGGAATTCATTGAATTCTGTTAGACGTAACTGCTTTCCACTGAGTTCAGAGCGAAACTCGGTATTTGTTCGATGCTCTATTCATATTGCGATTTAATCTAGAAAGAATTAGAGGGCTGCAAGGCAGCTTTCTGCCAGGCAAGCAGCTTCCCTCTCTTCCTCCTTGTTTAAAAAACCCCAAGATTTACACCGGCTCTATCCCCAACTCTATTTTAGCAAAATAAATCCTTCCACTCCCTCTCATTACAATAAATTTACATCTGCAGTAAAATGGCAGGAGGGATGCGCTTATTTATTTGGAATAAAAACAATAGAGCCTTACTTCTAAACAGAGCATTTCTATTGTGACGGGGCTCGGAGAAGGACAGCGGAGAATGTCCCCTTCTTCGCGAGGCGTTCGGGTCTCAAATAGGATTTAGCAAAATGAACCTGAGTTCATTTTTCCCTTCGCCCGCTCTGCCTCAGCCCACTCGCAAACAAATGGCAAAGCGGCGGATGGTGCTCATGGAGAGTTGCACCGCTCCATCCCTCGAAGAGCAAATAGTTAATGCGGGGCATTCTTCATTAATGCTCGAGCAATCGGCGGCACGGCGGTGTGTGAGTGTGTATCAGTGGCTTTGCATTGCTACGATCGTGTGTTAATATCGTGGGTGCTGCGAAAACAGCTTTCCCTTCCGATTTCCGCGCTGAGGACGGTATTAATGTTTTTGCACATGGCGAATTAATCCTGTTTACTTTGTCAGGTTGGAGGCAGGGAAGCTTTTATTTTTATTATTATTATTATTATTATTCCTTGGGAAATCCAACCTCAGCAGCAACGTGGGACCGTTCTGCGCCTCGCGCCCCGTCCCTGCCCGAAGCTCGGCCCTTGTCCTCCGGGTCACAGAAGGCGCTCACACCCTTCTACCGGGGACGGACGCCTTTCTCCTCCCAGGAGCTCGGGCACGGGTGGTCGTGCTCGGGCAGCGCCGTGTAACGGAGCCGCAGAGCATCCCCCACCCGCGGGGTCCCGGCTTTGTGCCCGCCGAAACCGCGGCTCCGCAGCACCTGCGGCTGCCGGCCGAGTTCCTGCGTGCGGCACCGGGACGGAGCGCGGGTCGCGGAGCCCTTCGGACCTCGCGGAGCCCCGCGGGGCCGCGGCCGTGACCCGCGGGCGGCTCGGCTCCGGCTGCGCTCCGCCCGCCGGCCGCGACCGCGGCTCCCGTGCCCTCTCTCGGTCCGTCGACCGCGGTACGGAGCCGAAGCCCCGCTCCGTGCGGGGTGGCTCCCGCCGCGGCGGTGCTCCGAGGACTGCGGTAGCGCGCGGAGCGAGGAAAGAAAGGGGAATAGAAAGAGCACAAAGTTAGGGCGCCGAGACGGAGGAGCGCCGCGCCGGGGCCGCGCGGAGGGCTCCGCAGGTGCCGCGGAACGGAGCGGCCCGGCCTCGCCCTGCCCCCGTGACCCCGAGGGCCCGCGCCGCGCGTCTGTGTCGCCGCGTTCCGCTTTTCCCTCCGCCTTCCCCTCCGCCGCCGCCCGCCGCCAGGTGAGCCCCGCGCGGGCTCCGGGAGCGGGGCCGAGATCCGCGCGCGGCCCCACGGCGGCGGCCTTTAGGACCGCGCGGGGCGGGCGGGCGCGCGGCGGCGGCCATGGCAGGGGCCGCGCACAGAGGGCGTCGCGCGCGGCCCAATGAGGACCGACGGGGGCGGGCGCGCGCGGAGCTTTCGCCCAGTCAAACGCCGCCGGCTCGCCTTATAAGGCCGCGCGGTCGCCATGGCGACGTGCGCTAAGTTGCAGCAGTCGTGTCAAAGTTCACTCTCCCGCCAGCGGGGCGAGCGGCCGGCGGGGAGCGCGCACACCACCCGGCCGCGCCCCCGCGCCCCTCCCTCTCCCCTCTCTCCCTCCTCCTCCCGCCGGGGGGGGGGCGCGCTGGGGGAAGGGCCCGCGCTCCCCTCCCTCTCCCTCTCCCCCCTCCCTCGGGCTGAGGCGCGATGCTGCGCGCCGCGCCGTGATCCTTCCCTCTCCTCCTCCTCCTCCCGCTCCCCTCTTTTATCATCCCGCCCGGCTGGCGAGTTGACTCCTTCCCGCCCCCCCCCCCCCCCCCCCCCCGCCCCCCGGTGCCCCGCGCCCCCCCCCCCCCCCGCCCGCGCCGTGAGCACCGGCGGCGCGGAGGCGAGAGCCCACTTGCGAGGCGGCACAAGCAGCATAAGGCAGCAGCGGCGCGGCGGAGCCCGGGCGGCGGCAGCGAGGAGCGAGCGGCGAGCGGCGAGCGGGGAGAATTAATAAAGCGGCCCCCCCTTTAAAAAAAAAAAAAAAAAAAAAAGGCAAAAAAAATATATAATAATAATAAAAAGAGAGAGAGAGACAGAGAGAAAGCAGCGAGCGCGGCGCGAGGAAGAATTAAAGAGAGGAAGAATTAAAGCCGGCGGAGGAGGAGGAGGAGGGAGGAGGAGAGACGGAGCGCGGAGAGAGGAGGAAAGAAAAAAAAAAAAAAAAAAAGCCGCCCGCACACACAAAGCGGAGCGCGGCGGTGGATGTGGCTGCGGCGCGCAGGACTCGCGGCGAGAGCGGCCCCCAGCAGCCCCGCCGCCCGCCGCCCCGCGCCGCCCGCGGCCGCGGCGTTCCCCGGCTGTTCGTCCGCGCCTTGATGGCTTTCCTGAATGGCTGACGGCGAGCTGCCCTGGAGCTGGCCCCCCGGCACCACCCGCCTCTCCGCCGGCAACTCCGCTGCGGATCGGCGCTGAGAGCAGCGGGCACAGCGGCGAAGGGATTTTTTTTTTTTTTTTTTCCTCTCTCTCTTTCTCTCTCCCTCTCCCCCCCCTCCCTTTCTCCCTTCGCTCTTCCCCGTGCTCGGCGCCGGGGAGCTTCGGAGAAAGGAGAAAAAAAATAAAAATTTTAAAGATATATCTTTTTTTTTTATCTTTTTTTTTTTTTTTTTTTTTTTTTAAAGCAACAAAAGGGAGAGAGAGGGAAAGAGAAAGAAAGGAGGAGGAGAAAAAAAGCAAACTGCTGCAAAGCTGAGCTGCAGAGCAAAGCAAACAAACTTTGAAAATAAAGGGGGAACAGGAAGTTTGGCAACGGTGTCCAATAGATATGGCAATGGTAGTCGGTGCGTGGCGAGACCCCCAGGACGATGTGCCCGGAGCTCAGGGAACGCAGCCAGCGCCCGCCCCGCCGGTGCAGGGCCCCCCGGCCGGGACCCCGCACACCCCGCAGACCCCGGGGCCCGGCGGCCCCCCCAGCACGCCAGCGCAGAGCAACGCGGCGAGCCAGCAGAGCCAAGGGGACAAGCAGCAGCAGCAGCAGCACATTGAGTGCGTGGTTTGTGGGGACAAGTCTAGTGGCAAACACTACGGCCAGTTTACCTGCGAGGGTTGCAAGAGTTTCTTCAAGCGGAGTGTAAGGAGGAATCTCAGCTACACTTGTCGTGCCAACAGGAACTGTCCCATTGACCAGCACCACCGCAATCAGTGTCAGTACTGCCGCCTCAAAAAATGCCTCAAAGTTGGCATGAGACGGGAAGGTATTGGGATTTCATTTGTTTTGCAATTTTATTTTTTTCCTCACCCGCTGCCTTTTAGGTTTGCTTTTATTATTATCATTCTGATTATTTTGAATTATGACGATTATGCTTTTATTGTTAACCTCCCTTCCCCCCGCTCACCGCTTCCGCCCCCCCCGCCCCCCCACCTCAACCCCCACCAGAACCCTCCCCCCCTCCCCAAATAAACTTTCTCTTCTTGAAAGAAAGAACCGTGGGAGGGGAGGAGGGGGCTCCCGCATGCTGCCCCGGAACCCACCGCGGCCGTCGCCGTGTGCCGGGGGGCGGCTGCTCGGGGACGGATTTCCACTCCGGAGCCGATGGCTCCGCCGGACGCTCGCTGTCCCCGCGTTCCCCCCCTGCATGCTCGGGGCTCCCCGTTCGCATTCAGCCCCCGGCCCGCGGCTTAACCCAGGCGGTTCGAATTACGGTTACAATGGAACTCACCCTCCCGAGGGCTCTACAGCACTCCACTGTGGATTCCCGACCGGATTTTCCCTCCTCTAAAAACACATAGACACATCCCTCCCTCCCTCCGTGTGTATGTGTGTGTGTGTGTGTATCGCCGTGTGCCTGCCTCTCCCCTCGCTCTGACCCCACTTTTCTCCTTCCTCCCTTCTCCCCGTCCTTCCCACGGGGGTGAAGCAGCACCCAGAAGGAAGCGAGGGGCGATGGGGGCTTTGTGCTATAAAATTAGCCGGGAAATGTGAGCCCGCGGCCCCGCAGCGCGTCTGGACGCTGCTATGTAGGTTAAGGGTGAGGGGGCTCGGGACTTGCCGGGCTCCTCTTTGTGTTCCTGCGGGGGAAACCGGGCTCGGAGCGCGGCCGGCAGCGAGCAGAGCCCGAGCGCGGTGTCCGCCGTCCCCTCCCCGCCGTCCTCCTGTCCCCCGGCCCCTTTTTCTCTCTCCTTTTTTCCTCTCTCCGTGTCAGTGTCTGAACAAAACGCCACAGGCCCGCTTCCCCGGGAAGGTGCCGCCGGATAAAGCCTGGCCCTGGGGGGGAGGTGATGCTGGGGCTGCTCGCTCCTCGCTTTTCTTTTTCTTTTTTTTTTTTTTTTTTCTTTTCGGGGGTTGCGAAGTGTCGGTGCCCTCTGCCCCCTGCCCGGCCCTCTCCCCCAGCCCCAAATCGATAAAGCTGCTTTGGTCGGAATGAAGGAAAACACAAAGCGTGGCCGTAGGAGGGCTGGAAGAGGGGGGGGGATCGCTGGGTCCTGCCGTGTGCGGGAGGTGAGGCTGTGCCGGGCCGGGGACGCGCTGGGCTCGGGCCGTGGCACGGCCGCACGGAGCGGGCTCGGGGCTGGCGGCGCTCGGAGCAATTCAGATATTAATAGCTGTAGTTTCTTCTTTATTCACTGCAGCGGTCCAGAGGGGCAGAATGCCACCCACACAGCCAACTCACGGTCAGTTCGCCTTGACAAACGGGGACCCTCTCAACTGCCATTCCTACCTATCCGGATATATCTCCCTTCTTCTGAGAGCAGAGCCCTACCCCACCTCCCGCTTTGGCAGTCAGTGCATGCAACCCAACAACATCATGGGCATCGAGAACATTTGCGAACTGGCAGCTCGGATGCTCTTCAGCGCGGTGGAGTGGGCCAGGAATATCCCCTTCTTCCCAGACCTGCAGATCACAGACCAGGTGGCCCTGCTCAGGCTGACCTGGAGCGAGTTGTTCGTGCTCAACGCCGCCCAGTGCTCCATGCCCCTCCACGTAGCCCCGCTGCTGGCAGCCGCCGGCCTCCACGCTTCGCCAATGTCTGCTGACCGAGTGGTCGCCTTTATGGACCACATACGAATCTTCCAAGAGCAAGTAGAAAAACTGAAAGCGTTGCATGTCGACTCCGCAGAATATAGCTGTTTAAAGGCCATAGTCCTCTTCACCTCAGGTAGGCAGCGTTTCTTTGCTCTCCCCTTCCTCCCCCCTGCCCCTCCGAGAGGTGTTTGCTCTTTGCAAAGTGTTGCTGCCTTCGCCAGCCCCGCTGCCCTGCCAGGAGTGGGGCTGGGGGGTTACCCGCGGGGCCTCGGCTCTCAGCAGCCCCCCAGCGTGGGCTGCGGGGGGAAATAACCCATCGCAACGATGAGAAATAGACGGGGAAGCGCACCCCGAGCCTTGCTGCGTCAGGCTGGGGAAGGGGGAAGAGGGGACTCGGGGGGAGGCACCCATTCGCCACAAGAGACTGCGCTTTTCCCATTGAAAATAATATTTTATTTAACAGTCTAGCTCTGGGTTGTTGCATTTAATGACACGCATCCGAACAGCAGCAAAAATCTGTTTGATGTTGTTAAATACAAGGCGTCCTATCAGTGAAACCACTTTAAAAAGAGTATCATTTTATGGGCAGCCAGGAAGGGGGGGGCGGGGAGAGGGGGGGGAAAGCCCTGCAGGATTAAAAATTGAATGAAAGAAAAATATAAAAACTTAAATGCGCAAAGCTCAGTTTAAAATATGTTCCCTGCCATCCCATAAAATAAAATAAATCAACTTCCCAAAGAGCTGTCTCTGATTGAAACAGAACGTGGCAGCGAGCAGTTCTGTGTCATTGGAGCTAAGGGGAAAAGTTTGCATTTGTACCCAGCAGGAGCTGCAGAGTGCAGAGCGAGGAGAGGGTGCGGAGGGATCATTACCATAAGCAGTCGGGGACAGCAGGAAAAAGTCAGAGCAGAGGGCAGGAGCTGCGCTTTGCCGAGCAGTTCCGGGGTGGCACGAGGCGAGGAGCGCAGCTCGGGGCGCTGCTGGGATCATCAAAGCGAAGGGGGGAAAAATATGTGTCAACTTTTGCTGCCTAGAAATAGTGCATGAGTTATAAAGCAATAATTGAGTGCGTTGTGAAATCGAATTAGCTTGCACTAGAGTTTAACTTGGGTGACTAATAAGCCTGATATTAACTCTGGAGGCTAAATATTTTTATTATTATTATTATTATTTTTAAATCTGCTCACTAATTTGCGCAATATGTGATCTCAGATGGCTAACTTGAAGGCTGCAGCCCTGCAAGTTTGGGGATGGAGTTTAAAAATCCCTAGATTTCTTCTGTAGCTCATTGGGAAGCTTGGGAAAGTGGCCACGCGATAAACATATGAATGGAAGCAGGACCTGTAAAATAATTACTCATCGGAGTTTTTTAAAGCCTGATATCAGGAAACAGGAAAAAAAAATGTAGTTTATGTGGGAAAAGGAGGGCTCACAATCCGCTCCTTGTTGTCTTAAAGGGGGTCTGGGGAACGAAGTCATTTTCTGGACTTTGTCCAGGTTCTGGGTCGTGACCTAAACTTCCTTTTATATATTATTGCTTTACACATTAAAAAAAAAAAAAAAAAAAAAGCCTTCTCCTCCCAACTTCCCCCCCTTCCCCTTCAACCAGCCACGCTGAGGTCCTGGGGTGACCCACGAGCACCCATTGGGGGGGTCCCGCGTGGGGCCGCTGCCCCTGGGGCTCTGTTTGGGGTCCAGGCACACGTGGGGACGCCCCACGGATCCCCCACACCTCCACTGGGCTGCAGCAGCCCCGAGGAGCGGAGCCGAAACCTCTCCTTTCTCCCCAAATCACTTGATTATGATGATGATTATTATTTTTAGCCTTCTGAGAAAACAATCGTCCGATCCTGTCGTAACTGTTTAATTTATTGCTATTTTCCAAATGTGAGGCCTGGCGTGTAAATTGCCTCCCAACGAGATAAACACTCCTTCTTATCTCGATGCTGGGGAGATAGCCCAGTGCACGAGGAGGGCTCCGCACACAGCTCCCCAATAACAGCACTGATGGAAAGCAGATGCACAGGGATGCACACACACTCGATTTGCTCCTGCTTCTCTTTTTTTTTTTTTTTTTTTTTTTTTT